TATACTTGTGGTGACCATGCAAACACAACCCACGCTCTGGTAGTATATGATGATGATGCATTGTCTTTGAAACTTATTGGTCCACACCAGAGACAGCTTTTTTTATTATTCCACCCTTTTATTTAACTCACTCTGTCTGTTGTTGTTGTTTCCTCAAATCTTGCAACTCAATTGTAACCCACTTCCCAATGTGGTATCGACTGAAAACTTGGTATACTCATGTCATGCTGATGACAATATTATATTCTATCATTAAAATGTTTAACAAATATTTTTAAACCATCTTTTTTACATGTTATGTTTTATATGTTATCACCACGGTCCCCTTACGTTATGGCAAGCCTCGGGGCCACTTCCTGGAGTCGTGGAGTTTTGCCATTACGAGCACGGTACATTTCATTAAAGCGTGTTTTTTTAAAAAAAAGTATCTTTAAATATTACTTTTAGAGCCTAGTCTCAAGCAGCGTGAGACCCAGAGGACAACGCCAGAAGGCGACCAGCACAAGGACAATGCCACACATCAGGACATTGAGAGCTCGGGGTGAGCTGCTACATCATGGGACCTCCCCTGCCAGTACCAAAATATAAGAATTGGGGCTTTACCCTTTCTGCCAGTGAAACCTATTGTGTTTTGACACTGGCAAAGGGAGATTCCATGATGAATTCTCGCAAGCTCGTCTCTAGGGGTTTTTTGTGACATCAATCACAAGTTTAACACATGTGTAGTGCCATGGAAGGAGTCACTATGGCGCAGAGCGCTGGTTGCTAGCAGAGAAGGAGGTCTGGGGTTACAGCAGCCCTGTCTGCCAGCAGGTCATGGGCCAGAGAGAGGCATGTGGGGCAAGGCGATAGAGGGGGCACATGAGATAAAGCCCGGGAACCTTCTAGTAGATTCTAGAAGGGGGGCGTAGCCGAAGGCAGACCAAAGTCATGCTGTGTGGATAAAAGGGGGACCCCGAGCGAAGGTTCGGGGCTAATGTTTGGAGTGGAATCCCGTCGTGCTGCTGGAGTCTCCGTCACCATCTTCACCTCCTCGGCGTTGTTAAGTCAGGCAGCCTGTCAGCTGTCTTGACCCTAATCTAGTTACCTCTTGAACCTGTGAAGGCTGCAATGAATAGAGTGCCTCCTGCTAATAGTGTCTCTGAGTGATACACTACACATAGTAGGCTTTTGCGACTAATATCATCCACAACACAGGTATTTTTTTGCTTGGTTCGATGGCGTGAATATATAAATGCTGCATCGGTAAACCCGCTACCGCCCGACACAGCCAATCGGTCGGGGGTTCGTCACGAGTGTAACGACTCAACGACCAGTCGTACGACGGGGACACTTTTAATAATAGGGTTTTTCCCCTTTTTTCTGGCAACAAAACTGAAACCTTTTTTTACAAGGAATCATGTGTGCATTAACCACAATACTTGTTTCTAGATTTGAAGCTTTCGTGACTGCAAGGATTTATACTCTTTGGGAGGGGGGGGGGGGGTTTCGGTAAAGTCACGTAGGTAAAAAATAAATAAAATAAATGAAAACTCAATTAAATCACGACGTTTCGGGCGCAACACATGCGTCCTTCTTCAGGTGGGGACAACGTAGCGAAAGCACAAACGCTTAAAGTGTGTCTCAGAGATGGCTGTGACGAGGGATTATATAGTCAAGGGGCATGGAGGAGGGGGGCGCATGGTGAGTGGGGGGGCGGGGTGTGGGCTGGGAGGTAAAGTTGGGAATCCGAGGGTGCACTGGGAGGCAACTGGTGGCGCCCAGACTGAGGCTTTGTGATGTAGATGGCGGAAGTAGATTAGCAAGCGAAGATTAAGCCGCCTTTTGTTATGCTGCTGGGTGGGTGAGTTGGAAATGCGCAGGCTAACAACGTAAGGAGTTCAAACTGAAATGTGCAAGCTAAAAAACAACTTGTGGTACACACTAACATGGCGATGGTAGTGTGTAAAACTGGGGGTAACAGACTGGGAATATGGGTATGTTTATGGAAATAAATCTAAACCGGCTGTCTAGCAGTAAACTTCCCGGTAGCTAAAGTTTAACTTGGTTAATAACATCTTTCCAATGGTTGCTCAATTTGAATCCATCATCTCGGTTGAAGTTATGTCTATGTTTGTATATCTGGATGGCTTCATGGACAAATCTTTTTTAGTATCCAGGAGGCTTGCAGAGCACCTTGGTATCGGAGAACACAATGTCATGAGAACCAGCAGCATTATAACAGTGGTCGGCCACGGCCGAAGAATCCGTCCTGCCATGTTTCAGATCCAACTTGTGCTCGCGAATGCGATCAGAAATATGTCGTTTCGTTTCCCCGATGTAACAATCCCCACAGGTGCAACTCAGTTTGTAGACACCAGGGTACTGTAAGTCAGGAAGGACATCCTTTACAGATGGGATCAGATCACAATACTTGTGGCCAAAATGCAAACAAAACACACACTGATAATATATGCATTGTCCTTGTGGGTGAGTGAGTGGGTGAGAGTGTGGGTGAGTTACACACTGGCTAGGAGATGTTAACTACCTCGCCTGGTGTGCAGGAGGTCGTGGGTTCGATACTAACCCTGATGGTGCCTGCTGCTGTATATTTGGAGTCTGCGTGACTCTCTCTCCCCGTGATCGCGTGGATTTTTTTCCGGGTCCTCTGGTTTCAGAATCAACGTCACGTGTTCAGAGTGCTTGGCCGCTCCTATACATTTCCACGTGGTGATGATGATATCAGCAACTTGGTTGAGCAGCTATCACTACGTGGGATTAGCCAAGTGGTTGCTTCAGAGAAGGAGCTACACAATGGGGCTTTACACCTCGTAACATCAAAATGGTTTAGTTTCAGTATGGGTTTCTTGCGTATGGGTCTCTGTGAGCCTCTATGTAAATGGGTGTCTGGGGCCGTCCTTAAATGACGTCACGCGATTTTGGCCGATTTTTGACCCCCCTCCACCCTTCCCCCCTCGTCACACGGCGTCACAAAAAGTCAGACCCCCCCCCCCCTCAAATATGACGTCACAAAGCTCTCTCCCCCCCCAAAAAAAAACATATTTCCACTTTTAAATAAAGCATGCTTCAAATCAATTTCAACTATCGTCATTGTAGTGAGTATTTAATGTGGCGCTGCACTCTGATGTTGTAGGAGAAAACACATTAAAAAGGAGGCGTTGAAAAGCAGATGTTCACAATATCATATTGAAATTCTCTTATAGTTATCAAATATGAAAAGTAATTATTATACAATCAGATATTCATTCCACAGAATGAAAAGCCCTGGTAGAATCAAAATGTTAAATAGGAATCATAAAAAAAAAATCAAAATGTATGCTTCTTCATTCTCCCATTGAGAAGCAAAATGCTCCTTCATGAAATAAATAGGGAGAGCATGAATCTCTTCATCCGACGTAATCCGCCACTGTTGGAAAATATCGACAATCAACTGTGACCAAATTTCGGCTAGTGTGTTTCCTGCAAAAACTTAAAATTCTTCTTCTCTAAGTCAGCGTCGATGGTAGTACCTCTTTCGTTCAAATGACTACCGTAGTGGTCATGTGGTAACATCAATCCAGGAGGTTCCTTACTGAGTGGCACCATTTTTCTCTCGACCCTATGAAATGCGCTGTTGCACTCCGGTTGTTGTTTTGAGTTTCATTTATTTGGTATAGCCCCTGTGAGCCATTCGGCTCTTGAATCGGGTGCAACCGCAACAAACAAAAAAACTAAAACGTGAACAAGAAAACATCTGAAAGTGACTTTGTCACTTTGCGTAAACAGAAAATCCAAGAAGACAGCTAAATATTTCAGAAAAAGCACCGTACACCAACGCTGTGCAAAAATCCCAGTGGGATGCAAATCAAATAACGACAACCACAAGACAACTTAGATTAAGGCCATCAGTCTAACTCCGTACTACAACAAACAAACATGGGCAAACCAAAAAAAACTTTTCGAAATCACCAAAATAAAGCCATAAAAGCAATGTAACAGTGATCATAGGAACTGTGACCGAATTTTCACAATAAACTACATTAATAACATGTACCACCAAACCCTGCAGCCATAGCTGGCTGCATGAGTCACTCCACAACATCAGGAGCATCAGTCGGAGTATCAAAAATTATTCAATGCACCTTTAAGATCAGCACACTAAATCAAAATACAGATAATACTTTGCAGCGGTCAACCGGAGCGAATCATTTTATTTTATTTTAGGCCACTGAATAGCAGTGGCAGCTAGGGGTGTACAACTCCTCTAGAGCAGTTTTGAGTGAAGATCTCATTGGTAGTGATTCAAGTTGCAGTTTATTGGCAATAACATTCCAGACCCTGGGGACATCAATCGCAAAGGCCCTTCCTCCAGTATTTGTACGGCAATAGGGGAATGTGAAGCTGGTAAATGAGCGAAGACCTGAGGTCAAATTTGTTCCTTGAAACAGAGAGGAGATCCAGCAGGTAGTCTGCGGAATTTTTTGCGAGAACATCGTGAATAAATAAGATCTGGTGCACAAGCCGTCGAACATTAAGAGATGTTACGTTTGACCCAATGTGTTGTCGTAACGTTCTGAGCGCCGTGCACTCCACAGCTCATTGGATTTCTCCTCAAGCCATCGACACAATAGACATTCTGATTATTCTGAAGGGGAAATGAAAAGCTATATGCTTAGTTTTTTCGGTAAAGTCACGTTGAAGGGAAACAACAAAATAATAAAATATATATAAAACAATAAAAAATTCTCACGACGTTTCGACCATAACTCAAACGGTCGTCTTAAGGTGAAGACGACCGTTTGAGTTATGGTCGAAACGTCGTGAGAATGTTTTTATTGTTTTATATATTTTATTATTTTGTTGTTTCCCTTCAACGTGACTTTACCGAAAAAACTAAGAATATGAATTACTGCAGTCACGAAAGCTTTAAATCAAAATGAAATGAAAAGCTGTTAGGGCCATGACTCAGCCCGCCAGATGGCGCTGCGTCACCCCGAATCGCAGTGGTCATAATGGGTGTGGTATTGGGGAGGTCACGTTGCTCAAGGGGAACTACATGAGCCACGTCTACGCAGGGACATTTCCTTTCGCTTGTGCGGTGGTCGACCCATCCACCGCCATCCACCGATGATGAAGTCGAGGTTGATGGCCTCGCGACTCTAAAGGAATTGACGACGATGACCCAAGTGCTGCATTGGATCGTTGCACTTCTAATCGTGGCATTCGGGGTGAGTCCTCTTGTGAGTGAGTCTCATGTGTGTGAGTCTATGGGTCTCTGTGTGTCTCTATGTGTGAGTGTCCAGGTCTTTGTGTGTCGGTGTGAGTCTGTGGGTCTGTGAGTCTCTGTGTCAGTCTGTGGGTTCTGTGTGTCTCTGTGTGAGTCTGTGAGTCTTTGGTGTGTCTGTGGGTCTCTGGGTGATGAGTCTATGGATCATCATCGTTTGCAGCTGGGTTTGGGTGTGCCTCTGTGTGTGAGTCTCTGTGTGTGTAAGTCTCTGTGTATGAGTCTCTGTGTGAATCTCTGTGTGGAAGAGTACGTCTCTGTGTGTGTGAGTGAGTCTGTGCGTGAGTCTCTGTCAAAGTGAGTCTCTGTGTGAGTATCTGTGTGTGTAAGTCTCTGTGTGTGAGCGTGAGTCTCTGTGAGTGTGAGTCTCTCTGTGTGTGAGGGTGAGTATCTGTGTGAGTCTCTGTGTGTTAGAGTATGTCTCTGTGTTAGTGAGTCTCGGTGTGAGTGTATGTGAGTGAGTCTGTGTGTGTGAGTCTCTCTGTGTGTCAGAGTAAGTATCTTTGTGTGTAAGTTTCTGTGTCTCTGAGTCTCTATGTGTGTGTGTCTCTGTGTGAGTGTCTGTGTGTGTGTCACTCTGTGTGTGTGAGAGTGAATCTCTGTGTGTGTGAGCGAGTCTGTCTGTGTGTGCATCTCTGTGTGAGGGTGAGTCTCTCTGTGTGTGAGTCTCTTTGTGTGTGTGAGTCTCTGTGTGTGAGAGTAAGTCTGTGTATGTGAATCTCGGTGTGTGTGTGTGAGAGTGAGTCTGTGTGTGAGTAAGTCTCTATCTGTGTGAGTCTCTTTGTACGTGAGAGTCTCTGTGTGTGTATGAGTCTCTGTGAGCGAGTCTCTTTGTGTGTGTGTGAGTCTCTTTGTGTGAGAGTGATTCTCTGTGTGTGAGTCTATGGGTATCTGTGTCTCTGTGTAAGTCTGTGGGTATCTGTGGTCAGTGTAAGTTTATATGTCAGTATGTGGGTTCTGTGTGTCTTTGTGTGTGTCTGTGTGAGTCAGTGGGTCTTTGTGCGATTCTGAGGGTATCTGTGTGAGTGTGTGGTTATCTGTGTGAGTCTGTGGGTCTTTTGTGTCTCGGTGGGTCTCTGTATGAGTTCCTGTGTGACGAGTCTATGGGTCATCATCGCTTTCTCTTTGGATTGGCATCGCCCCCCACTCTGGATGTCGAGGGTAAATGGGGGAGGTTTAGGACTGTGACTCATGCAGCTGCAATGGCTGCTTTGGGTACGCGGTCCAGACCTCTCCAGAGACCCTGGCTGACAGAGGAGGTGTTCAGGATGGTTGAGAAAAAGCGACAGGCGCACTCCCATCCAAAAAAGTAGTTTGCAGCTTCACACCTATAACCATCGTTAGAGGAAAGAATTGTGATCCAAAATCTGACCCGCAGGAATAGGTTTGAAGATTTTCTGAGCATTTCTGTGAGGTCTTGGGGAAGGGGAAATCCCTTAGACAGGACATCATCATGGGGGCAAAGTAGGGATGACCCTGCTGAGGCTGCGGTGCCTCAAATATTAGAAGAAGTGGTCACCCCTTTGAGTGGCTGGCTGAGGTGCCATCAGTTGAGGAAGTACGGAAGGAAATCCAGAGTTTGATATCTGGAAAAGTGGCGGGCAGAGATGATCTCCCAAATGAAATGCTGAGGGCGGGTGGCGTGTCTGTGAAAACTGTACTATATGACGTTAAATAATGGGTTCCGCAGGAATGGAAGGATGCCCTGGTCGTCCTCCTCTTTAAGAAGGGGGACCGTACAGACTTTAACAACTACAGGGGCATCTCCCTCCTCAGTGTGCCGGGAAAGGTCCTGGCAAGGATTATTCAACATCACCTTGCCAGGCACGCTGAGGAGAGGCTTGCGGAGCCCCAATGTGGTTTCAAGAAAGGACGGTCCTATACAGATGCCATAATTTCTGTCCGTCTGCTCTTTCAGAGATGTAGAGAATTCCAACAAGACCTACATCTCTGCTTTATTGACCTGGTCAAGGCCTAATGATACCATCAGTAGGCCTGGGCTCTGGGTTGTTCTTCATGCTTTCGGAGTCCCTGATGGTGGGCAGGCCCAGGTAAAGCTACGTGGCCAGGAGTCGGAGCCATTCTCTATTCACCTTGGAGTGCAACGGGGATATCCTCTGGCACCTACATTATTTTACATATTTTTCAACCACGTAATTCTAGAAGCTTTCCATGGCTGTACCGGAGGAATTTCCATCTGGTACAGATACAATGGGAGGCTGATGGATGCTCGGGTGCCATTAATGGATGGCTCCCTATTGGTCAACCATGTTATGTATGCTGATGATCTCGTGATTGCTGCTCACTCTGAGGAGTTGGAGGCGCTGATGCTGAACCTGGAGCATGCCAGGTTCAGCAGATGGGGTCTTACCATCAGACCCACCTGCCTGGATATTTTGTGCCATCAGACACTCCGCCCCCTCAGCTTCCCATTGATGGTGTAGTTGTGTAGAGAGGGAAGAGGTTTCTATACCTGGGCAGTGTGCTTATGACCAGCTCTGGTTTGGCAGCAGAGATCCCACTCCAAATCAGTCGAGCAGCATTATATTTTCTTCGACTGCGTAATGCTGTGTGGAGGCTACCTGGTCTATTGCTCCACACGAAGCTTTGGGTCTTCTCGGCCACAATTATGTCCTTCCTATTCTATGCTTGTGAAACGTGGACCCCCCGCAGGCTGGATTGTGTGAGCTCACAAATCCTTGAAAGATCTGGACAAAATCCCATCATTGAGCTCTTCCGGCAGGCAAGGCCGTGTTCGCCGAGTCATATAGCCCACATGCCCAGCCACCGCATGCCGTAACAGCTTTTGTTCGGCCGGATAGAGGGGGCTAAATGGGCACAGCACGAGATGGATTGATGTGGTACAAGAGGATGTGGAGTAGAGTGCACTTGCCGATGACTGGTACCAGCGATTTCAAGATCAGCCTCTGTGGAGGAGGCTCGTGAAGGCTGCTGCCTGGGCATTTGGAGGGAGTCGCCCTCAAGCAACAACGGAGGGCAGAGAAGCGATGCTCACAACAACGAACGGAGCAACACGCAGCTAAAACACAGCAAGTTGGCACAGTAGGGGGTACAGGTGATGCTTTGGCCAGTCATCTCAGCCAGTCAATCCATGGCACCTGCAGAGTCTGTCCCGTGACCTGCCAGCGGGCGTTTGACATTTCATGTGGCTTTAAAGTTCTCATAGCCTGGTACAAGCGCCGTGGTGACACCACCGCCACTTAATGGCAGATGGCTGTTGTTGCTGTCTCTGTGTCTGTGGGTCTCTGTGCGAGTCTATGGGTCTCTGTGCGAGTCTATGGGTCTCTGTGTGAGTCTATGGGTCTCTTTGTCAGTGGTTGGGGTCTGTGTGAGTCTGCAGGTCTCTGTGTCTATAGGGTCTCTGTGGATCATGAGTTTAGAGTTATTTGGCTGCTGTTATTAAATTTCGAGATGGCAATGATGGTGATGATGAAGATATAAGTCACTTCGTTGAGCTTTCATTTGTGATGGTCAAGTCACTTTGGGAAAAATATCTACATACTGTAGCTCAGTAGGCCTTACCTGCTAAAATAAAAAAAAGCATTTACATAGTTTAGTAGATCTGTTGGCGCGATCGCAAGAGGTGAAATTTTATGATTTCTTGTTAAGAAGGCCAAAACTTTTCTGGACTTTTTCAAATAATTCCCCACTTGGGTGGATGGCGCGACGTGGCATAGGTGGGGGGGGGGGGGGGATCTCCCTGCAATCCACAGTTTTTGAATCATCACAGCCGGCCGCCTCATCATCAGTTTGCCAGTGGACACGCGCCAGACACACCGGCCCACAATTTCAGGCAACGGGGTAATCCTTACTTATTGTTTTCGTCGAACGGGTTTGTTGCGCGATGACAACTGGCGCAGTGCAGGTGAGGTCTCGGAGTACGCGGAACCCGCCCCCCCCCCCCCCCCCCCCCGATTCGCACTCAGCACTTTGCCACTACTTTCACTGCACGCGCACGGGGCGGGAAGCGAGGAGTGGAATCGCACCGCCCGCCACCACGCCAGCGGTGGATTTGAGGGCATGTGACCAAAATAATCTCCGGTGTTCTCTCTGACCTTTATGCTACCGATGATTATTGAATCAGCGGTAGCATTTACTCGACAATGCTGTACTTTATTAAAATGTTATGCACATTTACATACGTTGTATGTGCACAGCACTCGTAGTAATATAGTGTGTGTTGGAGAGCAAAGCAACGACATTTACACACCGGTGTGCTGTACTAGTGTCGTGTATCAATATAGACACACTAAGAGTTGGAGGCACATCCATTTATTCCGGTCCATACAGCCACAGGGGATAACTACCCACGGTCCGTACGCTACCCGACCAACAACATCGAGGAGGTGAAGACGAGGACAACGGCAGCACGACGAGTTCCTTTCCCAGACAACAGCCCCGACTGAGTGTCGGAGCCTCCCTTTTATCCTCCCCGGCATGGCCAGACTCCGCCTTCGGCCACGCCCCCTCCTGGCTCTCGTCAGAAGGTTCCAAACTCTGCCCCCACGTGTCTCACTGGCAGACCAGGCTGCTGCACACGTAATCCTCCTCTCTCCGAGCATCCCATGCTACGTACTTTAGTGACTATGTCACTTCACTAGTAACGAATTGGCATCTTCTGTTTACGTGACAAAACTTACTAATTGGCTATGTCGGGTGGTGGCGGATTTAACGACACATTTATTTACGCGTTCTAACCCAAACAAACCTCCATTATGAATGATATTAGACCAGATGAAGATTGAGACGACACAACTCCTCTTTATTTTGCCCACGAGCTCACGCGCCGCGTGCGACCACTCCACTCCAAATCCCACCAGGAAGCTGCCCCCACAGCCCCGCCTCTTCCGGTGACGTCACACCCCCCCCCCCCCCCCGAGAGTTCCCAAACTCTCACGCCCCGCCCTCTCTTTCCTTTCGTTC